TACATCAGCAGCACCACACGCATTTGTTGTTTATGTGCAGATCAAAGCGCGTGCATGTGTCATGATACTCTCCAAAATGGCGCTAGTGGAGGAGAAGAATTGTTGAATATAGTTGTTATTTTAGTTTTTTTGTGCACAGAAAGTATTCTCGTAGCTTCATAAGAATTCATAACAATTAAAGTTGAACCATTTTTCATGGTTTTTACCGTTTTGTTGATGTTCTTGGTACCTTTCTTGACCCTGAAGGTGGTAGGACCCTTGCTGTCTATGGAGGGTCAGAGAGCTCTCGGATTTCATCTAAAATATTTTAATTTGTGTTCCAAAGACAAACAAAGGTCTTAAGGGTTTGGAACGACATGAGGGTGAGTAATTAATGACAGAGTTTTCATTTTTGGGTGAACTATCCCTTTACGTGTTTGTACTGTTTGCAGTGTAAATATTAATATACAGTATTTCCAATTTGCATGGTTAGTTTTAGTTTGCAGACCTAAAGAAGTTAAGTAGCATAAATAAAAAACATTTAGCACAGAAAACCATTACACTTTTCTTAGTCCTCATTCTATTTCTGATGTACTTCGCTACTTCTGAGACAAACGACAAATGTATTTGCTACGGTTGCTTTGTCGCGTTCAGTGTATACGCAGTGTCTTTTTATGCAATCTAATATATACAGTTGAGGTCAAATGTTTACATACACCTTGCAGAATCTACAATATGTTAATTATTTTACCAAAATAAGTGGGATCATACAAAAATGCATGTTATTGTTTATTTAGTACTGATCTGAATAAGATCTTTCACGTAAAAGACGTTTACATATAGTCCACAAGAGAAAATAATAGTTGTATTTATAAAAATGACCCCGTTCAAAAGTTTACATCAACTTGATTCTTAATACTGTGTTGTTACCTGAATGATCCACAGCTGTGTTTTTTTGTTTAGTGATATTGTGTTATTTAGAGTCCCTTGTTTGTCCTAAACAGTTAAACTGCCTGCTGTTCTTCAGAAAAATCCTTCAGGTCCCACAAATTCTTTGGATTTAAACCATTTTTGTGTATTTGAATGAGATGTAAACTTTTGAACAGAATGAAGATTCAGAATGAAGATGTTCTAAATATAATTTTTTATTTTTTTTTTTCATTTAGTAGCCTACTGCTCTTCAGAAGCTACAGAAGATACTTGACTGTTTTTCCAGAAAACAAAATAAGTTAAATTTACCCTGATGTTCAAATTAAAAAAAGTGTTTTCTTCTGAAACATCAGTGAGCGTTTGAACCTTCAGTAATAGTTGCATATGAGTCCCTCAGTTGTCCTCAGTGTGAAAAGATGGATCTCAAAATCATACAGTCATTGTTGGAAAGGGTTCAAATACACAAAAATACTGGAAAACCAAAGAATTTGTGGGACCTGAAGGTTTTTTCTGAAGAACAGCGGGTAGTTCAACTGTTGAGGACAAACAAGTGACTCATGAACAACTATCACTAAACAAACAAACAAAAAAACACAGCTGTGGATCATTCAGGTAACAACACACTATTAAAGGTGCAGTAGGAGATCTTGGAAAATGCTAACTTTAGAACTCTTCATATATATATATATATATATATATATGGAAACAGAAAAACTGGAAAAAAATACAAAAAATATTGAAAAAACTGTAACTGTTGGCCTTTGACTTTAATGTAAGTTTCCTCTGTCTTTTGTAACTGTGTGTTTGAAACAAAACACATGCTTTGTTACAAAGGAAGCTATAATTAAAGGTTATCAGGTGGTTTTGGCTATTCATCATCATAAAATGGCTAAATTTACAGAACTCACCCAAGGTCTGCTCACTGTTCATCTAAAGTGTTTTGTCATTAATAAATTAAAATTTTGTAACTGTGCATCTCATTCAACAGTTTAAAAAGTCATGTGATGTATATGACTTCAATGTATGATGTTATTTCCTCCAGCTGTTGTTCTTGTGCTGCTTTGTTGATGCTACAGTTCAAGACATTCAGATAAACATACAGTTAAATAAATTGAACAAAAAAAATATTTGGTTCTGCTCACTATAGTGGAATGGTCTGCAATTAATTTGCACTCTGAGTGAATCTGAAGCAAATTTTATATTATTAGTTTCTAAAATGTCGTATCTGGTCCTGATTGAGTGTATTTGTTCCTTGCAGAAATCAAAGAAGGATGCTGTGTATGAAAATTTCCCCAAAAAACGATGATCAAATACTCTATCTACTGGAATGTTAAATATTGGAAGTTAAATACTGGTTGATGACTCGTACCGTTTGGTGTTATTCACATTTATTCTCTAATAGGATGTCTCTGTTTTGTTTGAACTCTTGTATCACGTTTTTGGTGTTATTGTGATGTATGGATTTTTTATTTTTTTTTGTGGTTTCAACTTTTAGTTTATCATTTACCTAACTTAAATTATACAAATTTTAATCACATCCCTTCTCTGTACTATTTTATCATTTACTGTTCTTGTTTTATTCTTTTTAGGAAATTAAATTGAATATCAACTTAATTGCATAGTGATTACAGTATCACACATATACACTATGATTTGCTGGACATTTTGGCAAATTTATTACAAGTACATCAAAATATCACATATCTAGGAAATTACATAGGAGCCTATCTGAATAGCACTATACTTTTACTCACTAGCAGGCATGTGCATGCATAGACATCAAAGGGGGCTTGAGCACCTGCCCTTTTTCTTCCTTGCGAGAAAGTGCCCTTTTTTCTGGGGAGTTTTTTCTTTCTTTTTTTTTTTTTTTTTTTTTTATAAATCGGGTCGGGTCAGGAAATGTTGAAAAAACTGTTGAGTTCCGATGCCTTTCTCCCCCAAAAGACTAAGCTACCTGGGCCTCGAATATACAGCTAATCATCCAAAAGGCAAATACATAGTTAATTTGTCTTGCTAGCGCCCAT